TAGTTTGCAGTGCTCTTAGCCCAATACGATGTTGGTGTTTACTAATAATTGCAGCAAGCCCAATGATATCAACTGAAACTATAACAGCTTTTCAAAGTGATTCATTTGTTGAAAGTATTGGTGTTAACACTCATTGGGCATTTACAGGGGTATATTCTAACAATTATGCTACTTTAAGAAATAAATTGGGTGAATCTGGTATTCGTTATGTTCGTGATGGAACTTTTTCAGATGTTTTTACTCGAGCTAATGATCTTTACAATAGTTTTGGAATCAAAACAAATATGTTAACTGGACGATGGATACCTGGCTATTGACCAGCTCCACTCGATCCAACACAAATTGATGCTGAATTAAATGATATTAAAACTTTAGCATTACAAACAGTAGCTACAATAGAAGCTCCTAATGAATATGATCATTCACATGGTCCCGATGCTGATTGGGTATCAACTATTAGAAATTATAGTATGCTTCTATATAATAAAGTAAAAGCTGATCCATTATTGAAAAATTTCTCTATCATCGGACCATCATTTGGAACATTCGAAACGTATCATGCTGTGGGTAGTTTAGATTCATATATTGACTATGGAAATCAACATATGTATTATTGGACTTATTGGCCAGGTTTCAGTGGATTTGATAGTAATGGATCTTATAGTATCGATTGGTTTCTTAATACTTTGGCACCAGAACAATCACCATCTCGTAAACCTATTCAAGTTACTGAAACTGGTCATACTACTTTTACTGAACTTGGTGGTATATCGGAAGAAGCTGATGGAAAATATACACTTCGTATATTAGCTGAATTCTTTCGTCGTGGTATTTATCGTACTTATAAATATGAACTTGTAGATCAAGCACTACCAGATAGAGAAGGATTCTTTGGTTTATTACGAAATAATTTAACGGAGAAACCATCATTTCGAGCAGTGAAAAATTTGATATCAATACTAAATGATAAAGGATCAAGTTTTGCACCAAATGCATTGACTTATACACTCACTGGTAATTTAATTAACGTTCGACAATTACTTTTTCAAAAACGTAATGGTGATTTTTATTTGATGATATGGAATGAAGTATCAAGTTGGGATGTTGCACATAAATTTGATTTGTATCCGCTTCCACAACAACTTCAACTCAGTTTACAAAGTGATTATATACTTGCCGATGCTACACTTTATACTTTTAATAACAATGCCGATCTTCAAACTATCAATCTTTCAATCAATAATAATCAAGTCAACTTCAATGCAACCGACACAGTTAGTGTTATTAGATTAAGAAATGGTACTAATTCAAGCTCGGGAACTTCAACTACTGCTGGAACTGGAATGGGAGGTGTCTATCGAATAACACCAAAATATGCACCACAATCAGGTCTTTATGCAAATGCTGATCAAAATTATGCATTTGTTAGTCAATCACAGTATTCAGGTGGTACTCATCAACAATGGATTGTTGAATCACTCACTGATGGTTATTACCGTATAACGAATCGTGCTGGTACTCGAGTACTCAATGTATATGGTTGCAATCCAAATGATGGAGGTGTAATACAATTACATGACTGGTTACATTCTGATTGTCAAAAGTGGAAATTTGAATTGCTCTCGAATGGATATTATCGTATAACACCAAAACATGCTTTGAATCAATCTCTTGATGTGCAAATGTGTACTACCGTTGGTGGTATCATTGTTCAGCAATGGTCTTGGTCAAATAGTGAGTGTCAACAATGGAAATTAGAAAAGATCGGATTAGCTGTTTGAAAAGAAATACATAATATGTTTAAGAATTGATGTAATTGCAAGAATTTGAAATAAAAGAAAATGAATAAAATTCGTTTTTTTTAATTGGTTAAGGGTGTGGGTGTCTGATAAAGGTAATCGTCACACGTCCACATCCACACGCCATAGCAGAGTTAAGGTTATAAGTCAATTAGCTATACATACAACATGCATTGTGAAAATGAAAAGTTTTAACTGTTTTTCTACGTTACAGTGTAAAAGTTTATTAGTAGAAGAATCAATATCAAATCATAACCAGATCAGCACTTTTGGTCCAGTGCAGACGTATCTAATTTACGTCTCGCATTTACATAAGAATACATATTCTTTCTTAATCGAAAAAAATTGATTCGATCACGCGAAGTAAAATAATTTTCTTTTGTTTAAATGATAGACAAAAATGAAAAAAAATACATCGGTCTGTGTATATGCTATAGGTATGATGTATATGAATTCGTTCTTTTTCTTTTTTTTTCTTTCCTTTCCTTTTTGTTATTTTCATTTGTACATTTATTACCTTTCTTTTTCTTTTATCTACTATTTCATATCGACAACGCACAATCGAAGACGACTGTGTGCGCCAATACAACGATGTATAGAACGGTTTTTTTTTCGTCCAATATTTTATACTTCGATACTATATCATTTTATGCATCTTACATTTTATTATGGTGTGAAGCACAGCGTTTATGTATCTCTTCACATTTTTTTTTCTTCTCACATGTAACGAATGTTTGCAGTGAATTCGTGTTTTTTCTTCTAAAATTAGTTCCTAAAAGAATCAGTTGGATACAGAATTTGATTCTACACCGGTGTTTATTAATGGTGTTACTTTATCTTTACGTTATAAAATAAATATTTCTGTTATATATATATTCTTTATTATAATTGCAGTACTTTAAAGAGAAGTTAGTTTGAAGGATAAAAGCAAATCTTGACTTGCAATGTGTTTTCTTCATTCTCTTGTAGATTCAATATGTCACTCCTTAAGCGCATTGGTGTAACCTACGGCACTTTTGTGACCGCTAACTACCTGTCCAATCACATTCTTTTCCCGAATAAGAAGCTCGACTATGGATTCCTTAACAGATTGATTGGTCGTGAAGTTAATACTGAATGGTATGCTTTTTTCATATCCTCTTTCATTATACTCTATTTTTTGTGTTTTCCTTACATTTTTGACCAATTAGGGTCTCGTTTCTTGTTGCTTTACAGTATCATTTTCTTACAGGTGGGGTACGCGCTCTGCACACATCTTCACTATCGGACTGCCGCTTGCGATTGCGGACCACCTGTCGATCGATATGTGGAACAAGGTGTTGCTGCCGAAAATGATGTATCCAGCTGGTACAAAACTCTCAATTATGCGCACTCCGGGACCATATCTCTTCCATATAGTGACGTAAGTGTTCTCCTTTTCTCTCCCTTGTGATTTAATGCAGTCCAAACGTCATCCTTTGTTAATTATCAGATTCGCATTCACTGGCATCATGGTGTACGTTGCATGGGATGCATACGCTAACCCATATCATAAAGACCGCGTGGGCGCGTTCACATCAAAGGTACACTATCGCTCTATTTTATTGTTTTAGCGTGTGATAATTTTCTCACCACTTGTCTATCTGACTGTTTGCAGGCATATCCGGAATTACAAGGATGCCAGTCAATGTACATGCTTCCCCTCATGTCTGGAGTTATGGAATATCTGTCTGGTAGACCATGTCCCCATGGTACTCTTTTAGGTCTCATCCCTCCAACTGCCGTAAGTTCTTTTCTCTTCGCTCCTCGTTTTGTTCATTTATCATCTGATGATTTTTATTCTTCATAGGCATTTGTCACAGTCAAGGGTTTTGGCATGAAGTGGCCGTGGAACGAGAACCTCACGCCTTTTGAGAAGAAATTGAACAATCAGTAATCATCGTAACTCAATTTCACTACAAACTCGTAGCTTTGAATATTTTTTAGAAAGTAAATAATAAAAATGTTGCCTAAATAATATTATTTATATCGCTAAACATCTTGTATTTATGCTGAAAGGGGTGGGTGTGAGTGTTTCTTCTCTCAGCTCACACCCATACCCTTGTTTTGGATGAAATAGTTCTGAATCTGTGTGGAATCGATTTGTACTATTTGTGATTAAGTTCTGACTATGCATTACTCCAACAATCATGTGATGCATCACATATTTTGATTGAAAGCTTTGAGACGCGTACTTTTTACGCGAACAATAATTGTATTTTATGTGCTTCTAAGTGACTCTATCACAATGTTTGTCTCATTGCTGTTCTATTAAATTTTCTGTTAGCTGGTATCCATTAGAATGTAATAAAACATTACTTAATTTTAAGAGATGAAGAGATGTCATAAGACATCACTTGCATTTTCAAAAGTCCACCGAATAGGTAGCAGTATCTCAAATCAGTCCGAAACAACGAACATGACAATAAATCAAACTAATAGAGAAGTATGTCTTATAGTACCTAACATATTTACAGATATTGATTGTAAGTCTTGCAGGCTCTTTCTCCAAAACGGATTCACTTGAGCATGAAACGGCTTCATTGTATACCGTCCAAGAAACTGGTATCGATGTAAGTTTCTCTTCTTTTTTTCAATACCTATCCGCTGTATTATGTGATTTTATTAATGCTAGAAAAAGACAATCTCTATCAAAAAAACGTCGAATCACGTTGTTCATTCTTGGCGCTTGTATACTTGGTGCTTTGACGGGTGTGTGTGTGGGTTTGATTACGCTACAACAGCATAAGAATGCAACCGATGACATGACAAGTAATAGTACAACGTTAGCTATCACAGGTTCGTAATTAATCTAAACACTATGCTCTAGTTTTAGCTAAATATTTGGAAACTATGTATAACTTGCTTTTTACAGAATCTTGAGATACTTATTTCAAGAGTATATTCATACTGAGAAAATTCTCAAATGTTTCTCATACACTATCGAAAAGTGGGATCAACAAGACGAAGAAAGTAAAATGATACTAGTCTTCTTCTTAAATACCCAGATCTTCAACAATCTTTGTTGTTTCCATATCAAATTCACAAGTCATACTCTTTGTGTGCTGAGAGTTTCGATTTTCTCCTAATCTTCAAGATGTTGTTCGTTCATTTACAGCTTCTACAAATCTCACGACAACCTCAACCATTTCAACGTCGACCATGAGCACCAAACCGTTCACTTCAACTTCGGACACGACTTCTACCAGCTCCACAAGCACAAGCACAAGCACAAGCACAAGCACAAGCACGAGCACAAGCACAAGCACAAGCATGAGCACGAGCACAAGCACGAGCACGACCGCAAGTACAACACCGAGTAAGTTTACTATGCATCCTCGTTCTTGATTTTGTGCTATACAGCATCAATGATTACGAGTAAAAGATAAAGACAATGCATAAATTGATTCTCTACATAGATCCTTACACGTGTGGAAACATGACTACGATAGTCAACGGTGACTTATTTTGTTGTGATCTCACCTTCCAGGTTAGCACGAATTGGACATCTTGCTGTGCGCTGTGTCTCTCCAACGCCACTTGCGGAAGCTTCACGTTCGTTCTCGGTAATAATAACTGCTATCTGAAGACAACAGCTCCTAACAATGGCACCGCCAATGGTGGTACTGTATTTGCAAGATATCCTTAGAAAAGAACACTCAGGTATTAAGATGACAAGACTGTGTACATTGTGTTCCCATTCACATTGCATTATTGACAAAATAAAAATTTAGACATTAAAGGAATCGATAGATACATGTTCATTTATACATACCATAGTTGGTAAACAGTGTTTGTATGAGAATGTGTTCTTGCTGTGTAAATCGTGTATTTTTATGTACGAATTAAATCATTGATACAAATACTCCTCGAACATTTCTTCATAAATATCCTTTATTGTATTTCATCTGTTTATTAAATTTATTTTATATCGAACAAAGATAAGAATATGTTTACTAGTTTTTCAATCTTGAGGGTGTGAGTGGTTGTACGAAATTAAAAGAAGAATCTAAACTCACACCCATCCTTATTATTATGATTCTCATATATCGGACTGATTTGAATGTACTATTTGCGTTCGCAAGAAAATTCCATATAAATTATGGAGATAAAATCAAAACTAGAAACTTGAAGGTAGGTGTGGGTGAGAATGTAGGTGAAGGTCCAAAATGATACTTACCTGTAACCAATTGAATTGTTCACTCATCTGATACATTCTTAGAACAAGGACTCAATCATGATCATTGCAGTTACTGATCCACATCCTAATTCCTTTTTTATCCGTACTATTATTCATAGAAGAAAGAAACGTATGGTACCCGAGAATTCTGAATTACCGTAGATGGCCTCGAATTCTTCATGACTCTTTTAAACTCTCCAAGAGAAAAATCCGAAATCTTAGAGGATGTGGGCAAGTGGATGAAGAAAGAATGATTCTGAATATGCATACCCACATCACGCACATATGTGAGCTAAGAGAAGAGACCTCCACACCCACATCCTCCAGATGACAGATGATTTGCCAATTATTATGGAATGGTTGAGTGAACAAGATACGAAACTCAGATATTCTAATTGTTTTATTGACAAAGAAAACGGAAATGATTATTTATGGTTAAGAAAGCATTAATCATATGCGCCAGCACAGTTTTATCATACCAAGGACATAAGATTCAACATTTTATATCCTCAGATAAAATATTGTCGAAGGACATGGATGTAGTTAACACGTTCTCATGCATCCACACCCCCTTTTCTTTGATAGCCAGACAGAAACCAAAAAGCTTGTATAATGCTAACAGGTACTTGAATTTTCTGTCCATCAACTATCACATCAGGTTGAATTCCTGGATTAGCCTCGATAGTCTGTTGTAGTTTGGCACCATAATATCGAGCAATATCTCCAGTGGTATCTACTGGAGTAACAGTGTGTTCAAACCAAGCTCTTGAACCCGAAAACATGCCACGATAGTATCTACGTTGTGGTGCCGATACTAATCATATTATTTATTTAAGTAAAGAAGGTCTTAATGAAAGTTCCTACATACCATAGCATGGCAGCTGTATGATTAACCCTTTCCTTCGTCTCGTCGAGTTCACAATGGGGTTAAGAGCATAAAGTTCATCAACCGGCACTCCATATATAAACGAAAGTATGTATAACGTTTCACGTGATACCATCGTATGCGTGGGATAACTCTTCTTGCAAGCAGTACTGTTATCATCTTTTAGCTTCCAGTCCTCATTAATTTGATCCAAAGTTTTGGGCATCGGATATAGAAAAAACTCTAAACGATTAAATAGTCGAAAGATGAATTAAGATCAAATAGGTGTTCTTACCAATATTATCAATCCGATATATCCAAATACCATTTAACATAGGATAAATCATACTTGCTGCATAACATATGACGAAAAGGATACTCACTATAAAACACATCGAACGCTTACCAACCATTTTTGAGTTCCTCCATCTAGGTCCTTTTTAAATTAGTTTAAAAGATATTCGAATGAGATACTATCTAGTATAAAACCTTACCTGAGTCGCATATAGAAAAATTGATTGTAGCATCTGAAGGACGTCTCCAACGTTTCTCATTGTCATCGACTTCTTGAGCGATGGGTATGTCCATGCTCATACAGTCTACAACAATAAAACATTTAGTTTTGTTCCACAATTTTTAAAGGATAACAGTCCTATGGATGTGAGTATGAGTTAATCGAACATTCACATTCACAGTTATATCTTCTGAAAGGGCAAGTCTAGTTGGTTAAATGGACAACGATAAAGAAGTATGCTTTCTCTTTACTCCTATATATATATATACATTATTCATATCAGTCGGAATTTCCAAGTTGGAAATTCCAACATACCCTTAAGAAGCACAGATCTTCTCAATAAATCATATATTTATCGTTTTCGTAATAAATAGTGACTATTTAAAGGTCGATAAAAAAGATTTTAGTTTTTTTATGTGACAGGAAAGAAAAAAACGAGTGTTTGAAGGATATGTTATCAGCACATTTCTTAAAAAATATTGTGTGAGGATTTGGATGGATGTGGGTGTGTGTAAGTCGGTGTCGGTCTGGGTTTGAGCCTGAGTGTTGCTCTTTAATCTTTTATCTTGCGTTCACCTACACCGTGAGTGTTACTTTATCGTTATTTTACTTTATAATAAAGAATAAAGTAACGAAAACCTCTATCTTTATTTTAAAAATAAAGATTTCTTTTTCTATCGAAACGTATTTTTTTCTCTTTTCTTAGCGTAGCTCACAAAAAATTATGATATTGAATAGTTAACTATAATGTGTCATAGTATTTTTCGTATATATCATTTCTTGTGTAATCCTTTTTTTTGACGGTATGGCATATGAAAGTGATGATAATGATAAGAAAGAGTAATAATAAACGTATTCTGTTGTTATACAAGATATTTGCGTATGTACTTATTGCATGAAAAAATATATCTTGAGGATGTGAGTGTGGGTATCATCTCTTTCTACCAATCCGCACATCCAAAGTATTTCAATGATTGAATAAATCAATGATGATGAAAATATTCTTTTCAAATGTAAAAGCTATGAATAAATGATCAAATAGAATTTCATTCAATCTCACAAATTGTTGTTTTCCTTTTATTTATTTACTGTCGAATTTTTCTATAGTGAGCATTGAAGAGATCTTTTTAAAGGATAATAATATACAAAAAAGACGTTTATTGAAAAGAAAATTATCCGTTTAATTAATTTACAAAACTAGTTTCTTTTTCTTCATATTAATAAATGAAGAGAAATATTTTCTGTGATTAGCGATCTAAAATCACTTTTTAATAAAAGTTCATATAAATGATTCTATAAAAGAATATATATTGAAAACTTTTTTTGTTTTATTATGATTGTATACTGATGATAAATTCATAAATAAAATTATACATTATCATTTTCTGATAAATAATATAAAGAAATTCTATTCTATTAGAGTTCATTGAGATTTATGTTATTATTTTACAAAATTTTTATCAAATTGTTTTATTTCGATTGAATTTCTTTTATTAATCGACTGTTACTATTTTTTTTTCTTTGATATTTCCGATATATTAATTATCATAATGAAATCAATAGACGTTCTATATTTATAAATTTCATTAAATAAAACACAAATATAAAAATCTAGAGTTTTAAGAAATTTTTCATTATTGTTTAAGAAAGATTTTATTCTATTTAAAATATTTTTCTAAATATTCATATAACAAATGGTAAATTAAAATAAATAACAAAATCAAATACAATATTAAAAATCAGAGAATAAAATTTATTTCTAATTTAAATATGTTAAATATTTATTAATTTTTTTTATTTTATTTTGTATAAACCTTTTGATTAAAATCATTTTCGTTTTTTTCATTATCAAATTTATTTAAAAAAAAATATCAATAAAATCTTTTCTCATTTTCAA